ACACCAAATTTATTCCACATGTTACGGTTGCGTAATTGTCACACCAAATTTATTCCACATGTTACGATTCCATGATGCGCCATCTGATGATACAACATCGATTTTAAACCCAGTATTTTCAACGAGAATGATACATTCTGTCACAAGTTTGTTTAAAATCGTTCCAGATGCGCTTCCTAGGCTCAGGAAACATCCCAGTGCTTGCACCCATTTCCCTTTGAAGGGCTGAAACATAAACACCAACGCATGATCGCCTCTTTTCTTTTTTTTATTATTCTCAGTAAACTGTCCTAAATTCGTAAAGCCGTTCACTTTCAGGTTACTTGGATTAAATGCAACGGCCTTAGACAATTTCATTTCATCTAGAAGTAAGGCACCTATCACAAACAAAATGATTGTAACAAATTAAAATAAATACAGTTAAGTAAAGCAGTAAAATAATTGAAATATTGAACATGGAATAACTCAGTCAATATTCTCAACACCCGTCTTCGACTCGTATTGAGAATATTGCTCTCGTAATTCAAAAGTCCTCTGCATAATGTATTATTACCGCGCACATCTGACAGCTCCATTTTTAACATTTTTTCTTTTAGTAATCGAAATGTGCTCTCTTGGAATCCATAGCAACCCTTAATAGTTTTCATATAATTATTTAACGTGTCTGCACTTGGTAGAGCCATTAGATTGTGTCTTCGTAAATGATTATATACTTTCTTGCTTTTTATACGGAGTAGCAGATATTCGTAGATCCAATCAGTTGTGTACCGAACACCATGTTTACCATTTGCCTTTGCCGCTTCAAAGCACGTCTTCACACACAAACGCTGATTTAATGGGAGTTTCATCATCGCAGTCTCGATAGCTTGTATATCTGCTTTAGCACATTGCATTTTTAAATTTTTTATCTCCTCTTTCAGTTTTCTAACCTGCATGTCACAGAAGCAGGAAAATAAATTATGGAGTAAAAAACACAATAATGTTATAAAAATACCTGGAATCTCATGTAGGAATTTTCAGTAGGGTTGTAACAATATTGCAGGAAATTACCTTTTCGATGAGTCTTGACCTTTTTCGTGAAATGTTTTTACATTTACCGCTGAGGTTTTTATTTTTCACCTTCCATCTGTCAAGTACGGTCGGCTTATTTAGTCTTCTTAAAATAAATGATTTTCTGTATTTGGCACAAGGAATGCATCTTTTTCGCCGTGCTCCACATACAGAGCTGTCTCTTATAATGTAACCTTCACACGTTTTTGAACTACAACATTGATAATACATTTTAGTTAATTAAAAATTGATAAATAATTATAAATTATAATATAATAATTAATACAATAATTAATGAAATGTCTTCATCGGTACTAAATACTACAACAGAATTGGCTTTCGTTAAAGTCATTCGTTACTGATTTGATATTTATATTCGTATGAGAAACTTTTTCCTCCTATATTCCTCAACGACATCCTAAAATTCTGCAAACTTCTTCTTTTCAGCGAAAGTAATGAAATGGAGAATCCAAAAAGTTTTACAATATTTATGTAATTAAAGTCCTAAAAACATTGACATTAAGTATCGACGAATAAATTGTATTAAATCTGTCCTTGAGAACAGTTTCACTGACTTTATACTATTTAATGCCTCAAAACTTTGGGATTCTCTATATCATTATTTTTACTTAAAACAACAAGTTTGTACAATATTTTAAATTTTGCTGAGGAATATAGGAGGATAAAAGTTTCTCGATACGAATATAAATATAAAAAAATCAGCAACGAATAACTTTAACGAAAGCCAATTCTGTTCTAGTATGTAGTACGGATTAAGAAATTTTATTCATTCTTTGTACGATAATAGTTGTACAATATTTATTTAATTGAAGTCCTCAAGATATTAATATTTAGTATCGATGAATAAATTGTATGAATTCTGTGCTTGAGGACAGATTCACTGATTTTGTACTATTCAAGGTTTAAAAACTTTTTGAATTCTTTATTTCATTATTTTCACTTAAAACAAGTTTGTGGAATATTTAAAATGTCGCTGAGGAATATAGAAGGGAAACAGTTTCTCATCCTAATGTAGATGCAAAATCAGTAACGAATAACTACCGAAAGCCAGTCATTCTGACATTTAGGATTAAATCAGTAACGAATAACTACCGAAAGCCAATGTCGTTCTGACATTTAGGACCGGTTAAGAAATTTTTTTAATTAAATTTTTTAATTAGTTTTTAATTTCAATACAGCACTAAAAAAATGGATCCAAATCATACGTGATACACTACAAGTGATAGGGTAGTATTTCTCTGCTTTTTTTGTTTTAATTTAATAAATGTAACTAATTCATGTGTGTCATTTTTTGTTTCAAATATTTTCAGTTTTAAATTATTAACATTGATTGAAATATATATATATATATATATTTAAAGTACCTGTTTTTTGTTCCAACTTCTACACATGTATAGACATTTCGTAATCTCCATAATAAATTTGTGATATCTTGAATAGTTTCTATTTTTCCACCTAAAGCATCGATCTCTCTCTC